CCGTCTCCTAGGAATAATCAACAAACACTGAGTATCTGAGTTCTACAAAAGCATTAGTGTTAATTTTCTACTATCAGAAAACAGGTTATAATAACCTTCCAAGCTTTTAACTCGATGCAAACTACAAGTTATTTACGAGAGAGAAGAAAACAAGAGGACATATTTCGCATTAATATTTCTTAGCATGATATAACTTAGCTAGAGTATTTATTTCATCCCTACGTTTGAATACTTTGTTTTGTTGCTTAGCGCAAAGCTGCATAACAGATTATCTGCGCTGTGCCCACGTTGGGATCGAGCCCCAAATTTTAGCGTTATAAGTCTACAAGCTTACCGTTGGAACGTTAAATACGTTTCGAGAGCGATGTCGCGTACTTATATGTCCCAAAGAATTACAAAAATAATAATGAGAAGGTTAAAAGATCGGCTAGAGAATCACTTGTTACAGCTCGATTTATTTCAAATGCCTAAATTAGATCATGGTAAGATTTTCTTACAAATGGTAAGCCGTCTAAATTATTCGATCAGAAGAGCATGTTTTCCAAAAACGATTACTAAATAAAGAATAACCTGGCTTCCCAAAGAGAAAAATGAGTAAACCGAAGGGGTTGGGGGGCAGGTACTGGACTGCTACTGACTCTTAGGCCTGCATGTTGCATGTGTTACTGATTTCATAAACGACCTAAAAAGGTCCTGGCGACAACCCTGAACGTTTTATAGTCATGTGCCTACCACGTTTCAAGCTATGTTATTGTGTTGTAAAGCCCAAAACATCCTTTCCTGAATAAGTTTATATCTTAACTTAGATGTTTACGCCATTACTCCCTATTATATAGGGCCTACTATATTTATTTAGTTCGCTCTTCCAAGCAGCACTAATGAGCTGTGAATTCGGCGAAACTAGTCTGTTGCAGCGGAAGTAGAGAATCAAAAAACAGACTAGGCATGTAGATCATCTTTTCTTCACTGAAATTCACGTTCTGGTGAAGAAAAGAAATTAACAAATAAAGGTTTATATCTTCTTAACGGTATTCCTAGCGACGATGACGATATGCATGATTTTTCTGCACTCCTGACCTTTTACATATAAACTCCTAATTGGCTAGTCGTACGATAGACTTAATTTTCAGGCTGATCCGACTTTATCAGATATCTATTAGAGAAAAAAAAAAGTGTCACTCACGCAAGCACCCATGCTGAGACAAACAGTGGATAAAAAAAAAACATAACTCCCGCTCTTCAGTTATCTACACTTTCAGTGAATGTATATTTGTGGCTAACTTTCGACATTCAATGTAAATTAAACTATTATCAAAAATAACATAACGTGTTTAGCAATATAATAAATATATATTTAATATAAGCCGTCAGAATTGGTACAAATCTTAACAAGCAAGTAATTTAAAACCAAAAATCACATTCAAATGTTTGGATTTCAATCTAGTCTGCTGGACCCCCTTCCCCCAGTGGTTCAGCGGTAAGGTTGAAAGCTTATAACGCTAAAAATCGGGTTTTGATACCCGTAGTGCGCATAATACAGATAGTCCTTTTTGTAGCTTTGTGGTTAACAACAAACACAACCAAGTTTGCTTCCACATATATTGTCATTTTAAAGTTGTGTACTTAAAGCTAACGATATCTGATTAATGAGAAAACTGCTGCTTATTTACCTTAACTTCCAAAAAATATTAGTGTAAAATTTAAATCATAGTATATTTCACTTAAATGAAAATATAAGGTCAGCTTCATTTTTTCTGCGGATTCTTTTCGATCGTGTGTGTGTGTGTGTGTGTTATGTTCAAACAATGATTTATGCTTCATTTTTTCTGCGGATTCTCTTCGATCGTGAGTGTTATGTTCAAACAATGATTTATGAGATTCATAAATAAAAAGCACTAGTAATTAAATCTATATAATTTACTCAGAAACGTAGACAAGATACAGAATTGTAGGTAGAGAATAAGGAATACATTCAAATACGCAAAGATCTCATAGTCTACTCTAAAAATGCATGACGTTAGGTGACAGGAAAAAGTTTCTTCTTTCACAAAGTAGATCACAATTTGCAACCAATCTATCCAAAAGTTAAAATTATTGAATGTTTCCATGTACTGATTAAGCGCAAAGCTACATAGGAGTTATCTGTACTGTGTCCACCACGGGAATCGAACCCCGACATTACAAGCCCTCAAGTTTACCGTTGAGCCATCGGAGGATGGAGCACATTCAATATAAAACCCGTTGTCTATAAAAACCAATACTCGAACACTAACAAGTCTTAGGAAGTAGTTCAATTAAAGATGGGAATTTTGCGAGCCAGAATTTGTGAATAAATTATAACCATTCAAGTGACAAACTGGTAAAACTGGGCTATTTATCACTGGTATCAGCTGAGCTAGATCGCTTTATTACGTTAACTAATATGATTTCAGTTATAACAAGCCCCAGGAACAAGGCATCAAGTATGTGATTGACCTAAAAAAAAACTAGTGTTTTACAAAAGACTGTGAGCAAGTCTAGAATGAAATGGAGATATACACATTCCATATTCACCTTTACGAAAAGTCCTTCATTCTTCCTGAAACTTAACAACGTTTACTATATACACGAAATTTTTTGGGTACATATTATAAATAGACTTTTGGTGTGACATTCCAAGAATACGGATGAACCGTACTGCATGGCGTGCATACTTGCACAACGAACAACAAACGTTGGTGGTGTAATCAACCATGGCTATCTCTTCCAGGTTTAGCTACTTACACTGACCTCGAGTTGTAAACTCTTTGCGCAAGCGCTGTGCGAGGAAAGCTTTTCTAGTAAGTCTACTTTTTTGAGACTTACGAGTTATCATCATGGTAGAAATAAACTAGTAGATCTTGTTTTACTAGAAACTCACTTGACTGTGGCCGCGGCTACTCCTTCGAAAAAAAAAAGTATTATCTTGCTTCCAAAAGTAAACATTATTTTTATACAAATCGGCAGTAAGTATCAGATCTTCCTTACCTTCAGAAGGGATTACACATGGTAAGTATCAGATCTTCCTTACCTCCAGAAGAGATTACACATGGTAAGTATCAGATCTTCCTTACCTTCAGAAGGGATTACACATGTTCCTTTCGGTAATCCAGTTTTCTACAGGCCGATAGATTTCTTTCCGGTTTCTTTTCGCTTTTATTTTTGTTTGATTTTTTTGTAACTTATATTTGTTGTCGATGGTGATCATGCACAAGCAACAACATTCTGGCGCGAATCCTCTCATGCTACTGAGCTCCGAGTAGCAAACGAACCAGCCTCCTCGTAGTTTAGGACGGCATTGGTCGCGGATTACCCGCCGCACATTCTTTCCCTCAGGCCCCACATTCTTGTGTTTAGACCCTCGCAGCCCTGACACTCACTGCAAGCAGGCCCAGAGGGCCATCCGACGGGGGGTCCAGTGCGGCCTGTCAACCCGCAAGGCCGGCCGAGGTGGCAGAACAACAATCTGTTGTCTAGAAACTACACAAGAATTCAATCTTTTTCAGCTGATTTATATACGAGTCTATTGTGGATGACAGTGCCGATTTTGGCATTTTTTTCAGATCTAAAGAAAAGGAGATCTAACAGTCAA